GTAAAAAGGGCTGGGCTGGGTAAATAGGGACGCGTGTCCCACATTTTGTAGAAATGTTGTAGCAGCTAAACTAATCAAAATATTGCAAAACTAAAAAGAGTGGCGTAAACTTCAACATTTTTACTACCGGTATCTATTATGTATAAAGCTAGTCAAGAAATCAAACATTTACTATCTCTAAAAAATTGCTGAAAAAAAGTGTGAAAAGTGTGATTTTGGAAAAGTACCTCTGCTAAGGTCTGGAGCGAAAAAAATATTTGCCGTTTTAAAAAATTTTACTTACATAAAAGTTGCACCCAGGTGTCGGCTTGAAAACGTAATTGACAGAATTTGCCTATCTCATTCCAAAAAAAAATGTCAGCCATTTCCGTGTGATGGGGTAAAAAGGGACACCCCCCGGAGTAATTAGGGACACCCTTAAAAATGCATTTACAGTAGAATCTCAGTTAGCAAAAGCTCCAGTTAACAGAAAAATTGATTAACAACAAAGAATTTTGATTACATTTACCTTGCTTGGCAAAAAAATTCACTTATCGAAAAATTAGTGCATCGTCAGTCATCACAAAATTGTACATAGAATGCTATATATAGAATTGTGCACCGGGCATCCTAGAATGAAAAGTAATTGACCTAAACTATGATTTATTTCTTCAAAACATATGATGGTTCTCACTGAAACATTATTTTCTATTTCAGGTATGTTTTTCATGATCTTTTTTGTTATAGTGAAATATCTAGACTCGATTAAAATTGTGCAAAATTACAAACCATCCTGTAAGCTTACAGATACAGAAGAAATGCTACATGGCTGCTGATATGAAGCTTGCAGTGGACAAGGTTCTTGTTAATGCTCAATGGCATGTCCATGGATACAGTAATATCACATTAATAATATGGTAATGGATGGATAAGGTAATATTATGTCAATTATGAAAAACCAAGTAAAAATCACAGAAAATGTAATTTATTCTACATATACGTCATCTACAAAGGAAGAGGAGGACTTCAGAGTACTGTTAGTAATAGATGAGTACACTCTGCACGTTTCAAACGTTTGAAAATTGAGTTTTATTTTAAGTGTCCCTTATTACCCCATTTCCAGATTAATTCAGGAGTGTTCTATATTGCCTCTAACACCTTACAAATAGCATATGGAATTTTTTCGGTGCTTCCATACAATAGCCCTCACAAAGACCTTTAAAATGAGCCCAAACTCATTTATGAAATGTTTCATGGTAAGAAGTTAAAAACAAAAAACACTCAAAACCGTCCCTTATTACCCTGTTTGATGGTACATGATCTATAAAGGAAGAGGACTGTTAGTAATGGACGAGTACACTCTGCATGCTTCAAACATTTAAAATTGAGTTTTATTTTAAGTGTCCCGGATTACCCCGTTCCCAGGGGGTAATTCGGGACGCTTTTATTTTGCTTTTGGCACCTTAGGAATAGCATATGGATTTTTTTTGGGAATGCTATTTGATAGCCCTCACAAAGAGCTTTAAAATGAGCACAAACTTGTTTATGAAATGTATCATGGTAAGAAGTTTTTTACAAAAATGCTCAAAACCGTCCCTTATTACCGTGTTTGGTGGTATTCTATTATACTAAACTTTTGCCTTGAAATTTACACCACAATTGTCTCCTCCTAGGATGTAGAGCTTCCTCAATTTGGTATAGTTCTCTTTTTATTGTTTATTCTGCATTTAAAATCAACTAGCGCTATTTTGTTCTTTTATGTTGTCGGGCCCCAAATAGTCTGATACGGTAACAAACTTACACTTTGAGGTAGTCAAATGGGGTAAGACAGGATTGCAGCCTTCATGGGGTAAGAAAGGACCAGTCCATGGCATGCATTCTAATTGCACTGAATTTAATTTGATAAAAGAATATGTTAGAGCAGTCATCGCCTGTCATTTTTGTGTTTGTTTCAACCCTCTTCTGCAAATAATGAATTTCTGGCTAATTTTTAAAGAAAACCTATGCAAAGAAGGGTCACAAAATAGTTAACCCTGTTTGGGAAATGAACTCTGTCTAATGACAAAAAATTTTTTGGCCAGGTTTGTGGATGTAGGCAGGTAACCTCAAGTAATAAGCAACTTTTGAGACATACTAGGCATTCCTACCTGCTACCATCATGTATTCTAAAAATGGGGTAAAAAAGGACTGGACATGGGGTAAGATGGGACCACTAAATGATCCTGTTTTACCCCACAAGCAGTCCTATCTTACCCCACAAATGGTCCTGTCTTCCCCCACAAATGGTCCATTTTTTCTTAACTGGAGCCTTTGCTAACTGAGGTTCTACTGTAAATGTGCTTTCCGGGGTGTCCCGAATAGCCCCGGGGGGGTGTCCCGAGTAGCCCCGCCGTGCGGAAATGGCCGCCATTTTTTTTTAATGAGATAGGCAAAATCTGTCAATTACGTTTTCAAGCCGACACCTGGGTGCAACTTTTATGTAAGTAAAATTTTTTAATATGGCAAATATTTTTTTTGCTACAGACCTTAGCAGAAGTAACTTTTCAAAATAGCGTTTTTCACCATTTTTTTCAGGAATTTTTCAAAGCTAGTAAATGTCGTATTTTTCGACTTCCTCTATACTACATAGATAGGAAAAATGTTGTTGTTTAGGCCACTATATTTAGTTTAGCAATATTCCAATTAGTTTCGCTACTATGACTGTTTTACGACGTGTCAGAGGTGCGTCCCGAGTTGCCCCGCCAGTCCCGAGTTGCCCCGGTTGACGGTATGTAAAACAGAAATCTGGGCATTTTTTGTTTGTGTATATTTGTGAAAAAAATCAAAGAAAAGGCAAAATTATTGGAAAACAGAAAAAAAGGAGATATAAAACTCTATCTTCTCATTCAATTAACTTGCTACATCAAGAGACATATAATTTGATTTGTAAAGAACATGTATAGTAATTGTCCAACCAGTTTTTCCAAATCCTTATTTATTTGGTGGGGAGGATTTTTTTAGTTCTTAAATTTTTGCTCCCTCCATTTTTTTATATACCTATAATACAAACTGACAAAATAAAAAAAAGGGACTTGTGGATTGCTAGGTATTTTTTAAAGATTTTAGTGGTATATCTCTCAATGTTGTAGCTTGAAAATCATAGGAGGAGATATATTTTTAAGATGGCATATTTTGGAAGTGTTATTTGTTCAGGGGTGACAAATAAGTAAAATTGATTGTATAAAGAAGAAAATGCAAAAAAAATACTAGATATTTTAGCCCCATCTTTCCCAGTGCCAATTACTTGTATTGAGGGTACCGTCAACTGGGGCTACTCGGGACGGGCGGGGTAACTTGGGACAGTCCTCTGACACGGCGTAAAACTGTTTTAGTAGCAAAACTAATTGGAATATTGCAAAATTAAATATAGTGGCGTAAACATCAACATTTTTCCTATCTATGTGGTAAGTATAAAGGAAGTTCAAAAATTCTACATTTACTAGCTTTGAAAAATTTCTGAAAAAAATGGTGAAAAATGATATTTTGAAAAGTTAGAAAAGTTACTTCTGCTAAGGTCTGTAGTAAAAGAAATATTTGCCGTGTTAAAAAATTTTGCTTAGAAAAAAGTGGCAGACAAGTCTCAGCATAAAAATTTTATTTGCGGAATTATGCCTCAATCCAAAAAAATGGCGGCCATTTCAGCACGGAGGGGCTACTCGCGACACCCCCCGGGGCTATTTGGGTCACCCCCAAAAATGCATTTACAGTAGAACCTCAGTTAGCAAAGGCTCCAGTTAAGAAAAAAATTGATTAAAAACAAAGAATTTTGATTACATTTACCTTGCTCAGCAAAAAAATTTCACTTATAAAAAAATTAGTGCATCTTTGGTCATCACAAAATATTGCATAGAATGTCATATATAGAATTGTGCACCAGGCATCATAGAATGAAAAGTAATTGATTTAAACTATGATTTATTTCTCCAAAACATATGATGGCTGTCAGTAAAACATTCCTTTCTGTTTCAGGTATGTTTTTCACAATCTTTTTTATAGTAAATTCACTTAACCCAATTAAAATGGTGTGAAATTACAAGCCATCCTGTAAGCTTACAGATACAGAAAAAATGCTATAAGGCTGCTGATATGAAGCTTGCAGTGGACTAGGTAGTTGAAATGCTCAATGGCCTGTTCATGGATACGGTAATATGACTAATATCGCATCAATAATAAGGTAATTAATGTGTATGGTAATATCATATCAATAAAGGAAAAAGTAAAAATCACAGAAAATTTCATTTATTCTACCTCTACATCATCCACAATGAAAGAGGAGGACTTAAGAGCACTGTTAGTAATGGATGAGTACACTCTGCATGCTTCAAATGTTTTAAAATGAAGTTTTATTCCAAGTGTCCCGAGTAGCCCCGTTCTACGGGGCTACTCGGGACACTCTTTTTTTGCTTCAGGCACCTTACGAATAGCATAAGGAATTTTTTTGGAGAAGCCATGTGATAGCCCTTGCAAAGAGCTTTGAAATGAGCCTAAACTTGTTTATGAAATGTTTCATGGTAAGAAGTTATGAATGAAAAGCGTTCAAAATCGTCCCGAGTAGCCCCGGTTGACGGTACTATCAAGCATCTTTAAACTTATTCTTGACCTGTTTACTGCAAATAATAAGCTATAAATTTGATTTTTGTGATACATTATTTATATAAAATGGTCATTTAATAAAAGTTTAAAATGGCAGTGCACAAAAATAGAAAATGCACATAGGTACATGCAGTTTGTTGCATTAGACACGCATTTTCCCCTGCTACAAAATGATCCCAAAAACAGAGGAGCCAAAACTTTTTTTTGAGTTCCCTCAAGAGGAACTATAGCAGTAGAGAGCTTGAGCACTATACATGAGTTACTGTTGCTGTGAGGCATTACTGCTTTTTTGGCCACTCAAGCCATCTGTGTCAGTAATTCAATTTTTATGCATGATGCCTCCTTTTGTTCCATGTTGTTTCAGAACAGATGTAATAAATAAATTCCAATCAAGCAAAGTTCAAGTCGTAACTAAAACGCTGCCAAGACAGCTCAATACATCAAGTTAACTCTGCAATAGTGCAATACGTACTGTTGGGTAAGTGAAGGTCTTCTGGATAATTTATATCTATATCATTCTTAATTCTGTTTGTTTCTACATCTCCTTGAATCATTTGCATTATTTATTTGAATCACTTAAGCACATCCCTACTTTTTATAATTTAGTTAAATTTCTATTACAAGTGTTCATAGACTTGATAGTTGATGGTAACAAGGTTATTGCCTTACCTGTACAATTTCACTTGCATTATTGTGTCAAACCCACTTCCAATGTTGTTTGCTTCGTGTGTTTGTAAATTATAATTGTTGCATCACTAATTTCCTGCAACTTGAGTCACTAGACTAATTACCAGTCCCTAATTTCAATAATGTTTGTTCATTATTCAGTTATAGAATGAACACTTCAACTTAATCTCTACATTTGGGCATGATAGGTTATAGCCTGTCTACCATCAAAGTCACATCATGTGCAGAAGCATTCATTTGTAATTTTTATATCTTCTAGCTGCCTGAGGACTTTATGCACCATCACCTGTCTTGTGCCAGTCAAAGTATGCATTATAAATCAGTCTTACATGCAAAGTTTGAATCAGTTAATGTGCTCTCTACTCCTATCACTAGTTAAAATGCTATATAAACCACAACAGTCCTCTAGCACTGTATTCAATATAGTCTCTACTTGAATTTATTGACATGTCAGTTGTATTTTAAAATCCCAATAAACCTTAACTTTGATCGCAACTCTTTACTTACATTATTAATATACTAATTCGGCTTCCACTGCAAAATTCAAGTGGATTACAAGTTGATATCTGCACACAGGAACCTTATCAGGGTTGGTGATTTTTTTTGATTTTTTTAAAAAAATAAAAAAAATCAAAAAAAAAATCAATGATTTTTTTGATTTTTTCATGATTTTTTTGATTTATTTGATTTTTTTGATTTTTTCAACTTTTTTGTCTTTTTGAAGTGTTATTTTTTATGTTGCAATTAGCCTACTAACAATAACAGTATATGGATCATAATGGATGGCTAAAAAGGACACTTATTGCCTTCAATAATGGCCAACAGGCCAAGGTGGTGTTAACCACTTAGGGATTTTTGGGTAAACAATTATTGATTAGTCTATTCATTAGCTTTGTAAAGTTTGGATGGAGCAAGGTAATGAGCTAAATGTTGACCATTTAACTGGCTTCAATATACAAAAACACTTCAGGAATGCAGATCTTCTAAACATTGAAGAGTCACATAACAGATAGGTAGCTGATAGCACAGTGCACAACACCATCAATAGATCTACTAGTTTTATGTCCTATAAATCTACCAGACTCTTCCCTCTTTACACACCAACTAGTAGTAACTGAGTGACTGACTGCACTGTTCCCATTTAATTCAGACCAATAAATCAATACCAAACATAAACTGAACGATAATCAAACAAACCTCAAACGACTTGAAATGAGACTTAAGTTATGAGAAAATCTAACACTGTTTGAAATAAACATGTGCACAATTCAAATATTTTATATCCATTGACTGCATTTAGTTATTTTATATATAGTCTTATAATTGTACTTGCTTTGTTTCTAGTATTGAATTCACATATTTAAAGATTGAAATTAAATATATTGATTAGAATACTCGTATTAGGGTGCTAAATCTTTCTAATTGCCTAAAAGGTCAATACAATCTCAACCTCTCAATATACAGGGTGGGGCAGAACCGATTGAGCATTTTTGAGGTAAAATAAAAGAGTAATGGAGGTACATATAGAAGAAAGTTTATTTTCCTAGAGGTTAGCATAACATACCATTTTGAATACTTATGTTTTGAAAACAATATCTGGAAGATGGGGGCCGTTAGCTGCAACACACTGTTGGAGTCGTTCTCAGAGGAGGGTGTAGCCGTGACCGTGAATTCCGATCGCTATGCTGCAATGTTGCAAAATTTCTTGCAGCCCATGATGGAAAACATTGTTTAAAATGAAGCATTGGGAGATGTGTGGTTCCAGCAGGATGGGGCTACAGCTCACACAGCACGAATGTCACTCAATGTTTTGAAACACATGTTCCCAGACTCTGAGGGGTGATTTACAGTGGCCTGCGAGGTCACCTGATTTGTGCATTTGCAATTTCTTTCTTTGGGGACATCTAAAAGAAAGGGGTTCAGAAGTTGCCTTCACACCCTATATACCACAGCTAAGGGAACGGATTATTGCAGCAGAGGTTATGGCCATATCTTGCCATATGTGTGAACGTGCTGTAGAAAACTTCCGAGCACGACTCCAACAGTGTGATGCAGCTAACAAACCCCATCTTCCTGATATTTTTTTCAAAATATAGGTAAGTATTTTAAATGGTATGTTATGGTAATCTTGAGGAAAATAAACTTTCTTCTTTATGTACCTCCATTACTCTTTTATTTCACCTCAAAACTTTTCAATCAGTTCTGCCTCACCCTGTATAAGCTAGCTAACACATTTAAATTGTATATTGTAATCAATACATAACAAATAGTCAAATAGTTAAAGACTACTTATAGCCTTATAAGAAATAGCTAAGCTGCTAGCTACGTACAATGTATTGCACACTTAATGCCTCTGTACCAAAAACATTCAATTTATTGGAACCTAATACACACTAAAGGCAACAAGTTTATATACCAATTTGTCATTCATAGGACATTTATACTAAACCATGAATAACAATACCTCAATATAAATTAAAGACTGCCACTCAATATATTTAAATATATGAAAAAATCAAAAAAATCAATAAAATCGAAAAAATAAAAAAAAATCATGATTTTTTTATAAAAAAATCAAGTGATTTAATCACATGATTTAATCATTTTGATTTAATCATTGCCAACCCTGAACCTTATTATCAATATTGCTATTAGCAAATCTCCTTTACTCCGCAAAGGTGTACAGCTGGCTTGGTTTTATAAATTTTGCTACCATGTATTCCCATTTGCTGCGTGTGAATTGGGCCCCTCCCTTCAACGTGAGGACAGAAAACCTTTTTATGGAAACTGATTGATAAATGTTTGTGCTCTGAGTGAGCTAGGTACCAAAGATAAAATTTGGAAAAGTATAGTTGGATTTTCTGTAATGTATCAACATTTGATCACTCTAAATGATGGAAGATTGAAAGTTGCCTTAGTGAATGAACAAATCTAATGTATCACTTGGATGAAAACTTGGTTTCTGAAATTTATCTTACTTTGTATTCTTGTGACAACTCTGATATGCCTCTCATAAGCTGAATAATCATTATCAGACCGTCTACCTGCCAATGCTTGAATGCTTTCTATCAATCATTCTGAAGTAATTCTTGCATCTTGAACAAGTAAGGTTTCCCCAAGTCTCATGTGAAAATTTTATTATTTAAATTTCAAGTTGAATTAACTGACACCAAGCATATACCATAAACTACTATAGTGCATCAAAATCGGTAGCATCAATGAAAGTAAATTGATGAATACTAGGTACCTATGTAGAAGTGCAGTTCCTAAACAGTAAAATCAAAAACTAAAATTGAATCATTTTATATCCTCTTGATGTGTATCTGTGACCTAACGCTTAGTTCCCCTTGCTCCTCACACATAAGAGAAGCAGTGCCTGAGAATGTGCCAAGAAACCTAATTCTAAATTTAGAATTTCAATATAAATATTCACAATTTAAAATGTACCTGGAGTCCTATTTACAACTCTCCCTTATTTCAACAGTCAGTGTCTTAGATTGAACATGATTCCAAAAAAATCTGCTATCTTAAAGTTTTTTTTTACAGATGGACTTCTGCCAGCTGAAAAAGCCCTGCCTGATCTGGAGGAGATAATCAATTTGTTCGCTGCATCCATCTTGAAGCAGAGCATAGTCATATTAGTCGCCATGGCATCGATGATGGCCATGGTGAAGGAACTGGCCATATTTGTGCTTGCTACTACGGTTGTTGGGTTTTTAGCAGCCGCTAAAGAGGTGACAGTAATGGGCCTCTTCACAATCAGCTTTTTATTTGCTTTAGTTTCAGCAGCTTTTTATTTGCTTTTTGCAGTTTATGAGCCAGAGACAGTCATACAGACGGAGACCGAGACAGACATGAAACCAGAGACAGACACATATTTGGAGACAGGAACAGAGTTGGAGACAGACACAGAGTTGGAGACAGGCACAGAGTTGGAGACAGGCACTGAGTTGGAGACAGGCACAGAGTTGGAGACAGGCACAGAGTTGGAGACAGGCACAGAGTTGGAGACAGGCACTGAGTTGGAGACAGGCACAGAGTTGGAGACAGGCACAGAGTTGGAGACAGGCACAGAGTTGGAGACAGGCACTGAGTTGGATACTGACATGGAGATAGAGACAGAAAATCTCGTGCCAAATATATTGTTCGGCCACCGTCGTCGGTTCAACCCCACCGTCGTCGGGCGTGCAACAATCATACGACCACCAATCGTTTCATCAGACGATACTGACACGGAGTCGGATACTGATCTGAAGCTGAAGACAGACTTGGATCCGGCCACTGTCATGGATCCGGCCACTGTCATGGATCCGGCCACCATCATGGATCCGGCCACCATCATGGACCCGGCCACCGTCGTGGATCCGGCCACCGTCTTGGGTTCGGCCACCGTTGCGGATTCATCCACCGTTGCGGATTCATCCACCGTTGTGGGATCGACCACTGTTGTGGATCCGGCCACCGTCTTGGGTTCGGCCACCATTGTGGATCCGGCAACTGTCGTGGGTTCATCCACCGTTGCAGATTCATCCACCACTGTGGGATCGACCACCGTCGTGGGTTCGGCCTCCATCGTGGGTTCGGCCACCGTCGTGGGTTCAGCCACCGTCGTGGGTTCGGCCACTGTCGTGGGTTCGGCCATCGTCGTGGGTTCGGCCACCGTCGTGGGTTCGGCCACTGTCGTGGGTTCATCCACTGTCGTGGGTTCAGCTACCATTATGGGTTCATCCTCCGTCATTGGTTCATCCACTGTTGTTGGTTCCTCCACTGTTGTGGGTTCATCCACCGTCATGGGTTCATCCACCGTCCTGGGTTCTTCCACCGTCATGGGTTCATCCACCGTCATGGGTTCATCCACCATTATTGGTTCATCCACTGTTTTTGGTGCATCCACCTTCGTGGGTTCGGCCACCGACAGCAGGCTCGCCCCAGTAGACCCAATAGAAAGAGGGCGAGATTCATTAGGAAGAGAGCAAGACCCAACGGGGCATCAAGATCCAACAGGGGAGCAAGACCCAACTGGGGAGCAAGACCCAACAGGGCATCAAGATCCAACAGGGGAGCAAGATCCAACAGGAGAGCAAGACCCAACTGGGGAGCAAGACCCAACAGGGCATCAAGACCCAACTGGGGAGCAAGACCCAATAGGGCATCAAGACCCAACAGGGCATCAAGACCCAACAGGGGAGCAAGACCCAACAGGGGAGCAAGACCCAACAGGGGAGCAAGACCCAACATGGGAGCAAGATCCAAGAGGGGAGCAAGATCCAACATTGCTACCAATCGCATCGCTACCACCCCCATATGCATGCCTACCACAACCAAGCGCATCGCCACCACCTCCATACACACGGCTGCCACCCCCAAATTCATTGCTACTACCTCAATATGCATATGTACCACCCTTAAATACATCGCAACCACCAGAAGTTTTGCCAGATGATGAAGACTTGTGTTAACTTCCAATATTCTTTAGTAACTTCTGTTGCCTTCACAATTCCATTACAACAAATATCCCATCGTCAGATTGCTAAGACACTACAAAAATCATTGACAATCATGCAGTGACAATCATGTGTAGTGATTGTATCACCTCAGTAAATGGAGTCTGACTGCGGGTCTCAGTCGTGGGGTGAAGCTATCATGTATGCAGGATTCCTTACATTTCTCTTGTGTTTTGTGTAGGCAGGGCAGTATCTNGGGCAGTTGTGGGGTTAAGTTGTGTAGGCAGGGCAGATGTGTGGTCAAGTTGTTGTCTAGGCAGGGCAGTTGTGGGGTTAAGCTATCATGTAGGCAGGATTCCTAACCTTTCTCTTGTGCGGTTGGCCAGTGTCTCGTGTAAGCAACCACTTGTACGAGTGTACAACATTGTTTACATTGCTGTTCACATGTTATTCCTTATTCCTTCACTTACACGTCTTGGATGACAACGCTGCCTAATTTTTGTCAGCATACTAGCAATATGATAACTTTTGTATGTATAGTGGTGATTTTTAGGCTTGGCTTTTTGTGCCAGATAGTTCAGGAGTTAAAGTGCTAGCTAACCATGTGGTCACTATACTAGCTGCCAAGCAGAAAAATTCTCTTATGTTTACACTTGTCTCATTTATACTTAGTTATTAATAATTAATACTTTCAAATAAGTACTTTTAGTTTAGCATTTAGTAGCTTGGTAAGAACTCATGATTCATAATACAATTTGAAACTCTTGCTAGTGTTTACATTGTTAACGTATCAATTGTTGTCTATCTTTAGTTAATAATGAACTTCTCTGCGTATGTTGATCTGTTTAAAATGCGATTTCATAAATTTCAAAGCAACATCTATTGTTATTCAACTATAAATATATACAGTACCTACTAATTTTTTCCTTTATGTCGGCACCTTCCGTCCGCATAAAGCTTTTTTCGTTATTTTTCAACGGTAGAAAATGAAGCATATTGGCTTACATTTAGTTGAGTTGCAAGCAAAATTGTCATAAATTACTTCTTATGCTCATAGTTTTTTTCACTTTGTTTGTTTTTTTCATCCAAAATTGATTAAAGTGAAGTAGATTTATTTAAATTACTTGAATTGCAAGCACTTTAAAGATTTAATCAATTAAATTTTACAATTTCTTACTTTAAAATTAAATTTTACAATTTCTTACTTCATTGAAATGCCATAATATCTTGCAGCAAACTAAATTCTCATTGAAATGAGTGAAACTTTGTAAAAGCAGTGACGCGTTTTTGACCCTAGAGTAAAACCCTGACCCAGTTTGTCCCGGCAAAGGACGTATCAGTGCTACGTCATCTCTCTGCTTGTGCAGGGGTCACTATAGTTCGACCCGTTCGTATTTCATGCGTGCATCAACAACTGTTGTATTACCATTAACAGTATAAACTGAAAAAAGGTGGTATGTGTACTCCATAATTATGTAATTTTTCGAGTCATTTTTATATACCCTTTGAGGGTCTTGTTCATGTGATATTCTTATGTGATATTTCCAGTTTTTTTAGACATTTTTTATTAAACTTTACCCTAACATGGGTAAATTGGACCATTGACATGGTGGCTTGGACCGTTTTGAGATTTAAGAAAATAAAACCCTATAACTCAGAAAGTTCTTGCCTTAGAAAAATTGTGTTGGCTCTTGAAGTACCACGAGATGAACTACAAATGCATTAAAGATGTATTTTATACGTCCAATATGTGATTATTTCTATCACAAAATGTACCAGCGCTAAAAAATGGTTCAAGTCACGCCGTTTTACAGTGCTTAATAAGTCGCAGATACAGTTTCCTGCTACTCTGCTCGTTAGTTCCATATTCTTGTTGAACTGCTCAAAATTTTTTATATATAAATGTAATGCTCACATAGTATTGACTCAAACTTGATGTATTTTTATTTATTAATATTGGTCTTCCAGTATCTTCTAGTTGTTATAATCAAATGAATCTAGTTTATAAAATAAGAAGTGTCCTAAATATATTTTCATAAATTTTTTATTATCTTTTGTACTTTTATATCATAAATGAAGTTGGTGGGCATTTTTGAATAATATAATGCATAACTTTTTACCATTGTTTCATTCCAATATAATTTACATGATACCGAGAACAAGATTTTAGTTTCTACACTCGGATAAATAAACATCGCCACGCGACAACATTTCTTCTCGCTTCGAATCACCGACATGTGGAACAGCCTCCCCAATGACATCGTTGGCGCTCCAAGTATGAACGCGTTCAAGAACAGACTAGATAAGGCTATGGAAAAATATATGTTCANCCCGGTGGAAGTCGAGTAGCTATTTCAAACTATCGTCAGTCATGAAAAGATACGGTCAAATGACACGAGTTTAGATCTATGAACAAGGCACGAAAAGGAAAAGAATCGGCGACAGGCCACATCAGGCCTACACTTCAGCGCCGACATCATTATGTTATGTAAAGCTAAGTTTTGCTGCCAGTTTTGTCTCAAATTCTATAAAATCTTATAAGGCTCCAATGCTACCCAATAAAAATTCCTATTTGTGTAATTATACCAATCCATTCTATTACCTAATTATAATCCTATGGGCAGTTTCTCGTGCCACCACAAGAGCTCGTCAACGCTCGTTATTCATGCATTTGACGCTGTTGAAAATTGTTGCTGCACGATACTTAATTCCTGATGATGCATTTAGGAAAGACGAACATTTGTTATCTTCTGGGATTTCGTTCAGATCGCAGATTCAATGAATGCAGGGTATGATGCCTTGCACAGCCATCGCACATCATTCTATTAGGATCACGGTTACTCGTTAGAAATAATATACACTCAAGATTTCTTCTGGGTTTTCAGCAGCGTTTTATTATTCCAAACGTGCTTATTCCTTGTCCGAGTTCAGCGATAAAAGTAATCATCTCTACATTCAATAATAAGGCTCTTTCCGCTGTTTCGAGTTCTCATTGTATTTACCATTCGCGCTGAAATTGATAAAGTTTGCGTTCGTTTATGTTTTAGAAGCCTATCGCAAAGGTGTTAATGATTATGGAGCTCATTTCAAAAGCTGGAATTCATATGACCATTGATAGTATTGGATAATTGTTCGCATTAGTAAAAATGCAGTAAAAACTATTTATATGCATGATTTAGAAATCGCGTATGTCCGACCAGACAGTTTTACTCGCAAATTATTTACCAATAGAAATATCTTTGCTGTTCGGAACCAATTAACGCGTCTCTCTTCAGAAAGTATTCAAAGACGTGCAACGAGGATAATTCCAGGCTTGAAGGGCAAGTCATTTGAAGAAAGATATATTATGAAGCTTCCAAGCCTAAGTTATCGATGTCTGCGTGGGGACTTCATTGAAGTATACGATATACCCACGGTTTATGCAAGGTCCCAGAAGGATTACTAGAATTTTAAACACCAGGGGCCACGATTATAAACTAAAATAACCGTTGTAACTTATCCACGCGACAAAATTTCTTCTCGCTTCGAATCACCGACATGTGGAACAGCCTCCCCGATTACATCGTTGACGCTCCGAGTATAAACGCGTGCAAGAACAGACTAGATAAAGCTATGGAAAAATATATGTTCAGACTTGAAATGCATAGCACCATATCTAACCTGGTAGAAATCTAGTAGATATTTCAGGCTAACGACAGTTTGGAAAAGATCCGGTCAAAAAGCGTTTTTAGATCTCCTGTGAACGAGTCAAGAAAATTGCAGGAATCGGCGACAGGCCACATCAGGCCTACTCTTCAGCGCCATCACCATGATATATGATACCGGAATTGGTCTTGTTGGTCGGGTTCTTCTAGCCTCGTTTATCAGGCAAAATGATTCCAGTTGCAAGGGTTTTCTTTGTACGGATATAGTCCAAGCGCATTGGACTGATGCCTAAAGATGCGGCCAAGACTTTCTTGCACACGCGTACCCCATTATTCAGTGAATACTTCATTACAGTTGAGCGTTGCATACTTGCTGAGTGTTTGGCGTGTGTCTGTTATCTTTAACACTGACCTATAGAAATACAATATAGTGAAAAATAATTAAAGCCCATGAAATGGCATTGACCTGAACATGAATTACTTCTATACATTGACATGAACATAAGTTACTTCTATTCGACCTGGTGAGAATAACTGATGATATTTCTACTCGTCAACATTAGTAGCGAATTTGAACAACATCGATTGATTCATAAATAATAATGTTAGAGAGAAAAAGTTTAAGTGGCTCATATTTGACTATTGGGCCCCAATTCAATAAAACTATTTTAGCAATAACAATTATTACTGCATATTGTATAACTAGTGAATTTATTTAACAATTGGAGTTTCGACAGTACCCGTGTTTTCAGAGAAGGTTCCGAAGAACGTCATGCTACCAAACTATATTTTCGTGATTATGATAACATTTTCTCTACATGGGTAGTAATTTTTGATGGCCACTAAAATTAGCATCCCTTATTCAAAGCAATGAAAAGTACAACCAAGTAAATTGGGAGACAAGTACTAGAACTATAGCAGGATTTATAAGTGTAGGTTAATTTTGCATGTAAATAAATCTTCTTCGTCACATGTAATATCTCCGTCATTGTAGACCGAAGAAATGAGGACCGAGCGACCCAGCTTCCCATGCGCCAGAAATCTTCAAAGATTTTCCGACGCATCTCTACCCTAACAAAATTTAGAGTCGCCCCAGCTTCTGGTAGTCCAAATCAAAAGCTGACGCGTCTGCAAATTTTCACTGGGTAGAGTTAGATCGTTGAAGTCGTTATGTACTTGACTAACATAACTTGCACGTTATGTACTTGAACTGCGGAGGAGTGACGTCTTGGTACTTCCTATTGGTGTAGGGCGGTCCGCGCTGACGTCTGTTCTTGCGCTGGCTCGCGGTCATCGCAGGGACGTATGAAGTTCTGCCTCCCGACTGACCCATGGCCTACACGGCCAAGGCTGGTGTGTCCAAGTCTTGCG